TGTGTTCTGCTGGGCTGATAAGACAGTGGAATGTTTTTCTAACTACTGAGGCTTCAAGGCCGCACCTGCACTCTGGGGCTCAGACACTATGGGGAGATCTGTGACCCCCCCGTAGGAGGCTGAGTTAGACAGACAGCAAAATTGGCCAAAGATATTCCATTCCATATATCTACGTAAGCTCAGAAGAAGGTCAGAGATCACAGAAGACAACTTCCTTCCTTCTTCTTCTTCCCTTCTCTTCCGTCCATGGCCGGCGTCCAGGGAGGACTCTGTTCATCCATCACCGTCGACCCTTAGGCTCGAGCTCTCCTGACCCCCATAACTCTCTGCTTTCTCCAGCAGCAGCTCCGGGATTCCTCGGGACTCTTCCCAGTTCAGGGAAGTGCTGTGGGAGTTGCTGGGGTGGGGGGAGGCGAGAGGCTTTTGTCCATACCTGAATATATCTGTATATAATTGTATATATTTTCTTGTATCATTCATTAGTGTTTTAATTAAAGCTGTGTAGTTTAGTTTTCAATCCAGCCAAGTCTCTCTCTTTTTCTCTCTCTCCTTCCCTACCTGGGTTGGAGGGGGAGGGGATCGAGAACATTGTTGTTGGACCTGAGTCAAACGGTGACAGGCAACTAGGCTGATTAGAGGTCTGGAGGACAGGTCTTCTGAGGAGAGGCTGAAGGAGCTGGGGGTCTTCAGCCTGGAGAAGAGGAGGCTGAGGGGTGACAACTACCTGAAAGGAGGTTGTAGTGAGGTGGGTGTTTGCGTCTTCTCCCTAGTGACTAGAGATAGGATATGAAGAAATGGGGTCAAGCTGCACCAGGAGAGGTTCAGGCTGGATATTAGAAAAGATTTATTCACAGAAAGAGTTGTAAGGCATTGGAACAGGTTGCCCAGGGAGGTGGTGGAGGCACTGTCCTTGGAAGTGTTCAGAAAAGAGGTAGACCTGGTGTGGGGAACAGTCCCTCTTTTTCCCCTCTATAGAAGACTAAACAACAAATGCCTTTCAAGTCAGCAAGACAGGAGTGATGCCTTTTCACTGATTCACTCAAGGACAGAATGAGCAGGCCTCTTGCCCTACCAGATAAGTGCAGAGCAAAGAAGCAGCACAAGGGTCATAATAAGTGGCAGAGAAATAGACAATAGGTTAAAAACTGCCTCTAACAGAATATGTACCTGGCCAATGGTGATTGGCTAATTCAGACCGTGGTGCTTTCTGGAACAATGGTCTCTGATCCATAAAAAAGAGAGTAGGATCTGCTCTCTGGGGGTCTCTGCTCGCTCTCTCTGCCTGCCTGGGACAAGACCCCACTGCAGCACCTGAATCTGCCTGAGTGCCACTCCGCTGCGAGGAGAAGCAAAGAGGGGGGC